CCCTGCTCATGATTTTGGGTTGTGGAGAAGATGAAGATGCCACAAACTGTAGCTAGAGCTCCATCTAGCACATCCCCAAGAGGTTTCCAGTGACGTGAAGTCTCATTGACTAAAGTGGGAGACTCTTATGCCTGAGGTTAAACCATGGAAAATGAACAAAGATACAAGGTGAGCTGCTCTGGAGGGGAATAAGGACCCTGTTTCCATGAAAATGATCATAAGCATTTCTGTAGCTCTCAGAGCCTTTTTGTGAATCTTAAAAGAGCTGTTAATCTACTTGAAGATCTGCTTCAGGTCTGTGTCTCAGTGTGAAATTCATCTGTGGGCTGAATTTTCTTGTGATTCTCCATTGTGGTCAACAGTGTTGGGCTGGTGTAAATGAGAGGAGGTCTAGGCTCTTTGACTTTACCTTGGACAGTAGAGGAGATGATGTGCTTATCTGCAGCTGAGAGCATCAGGGAGAACCTCATGGTGTGCTGCTGCTGGAGCTTCTGTGACCTGCTTTGTTGTGGCAAGCAAGGCCCCAGGCTGAGTTGCATCTTGCCCTGGTATATGTTGAGGGGGATGTAAAAAAAGAGGGGTTTGTATCATAGCCCTGCAGATGAACCCATCCATGACAGGGAAACCTGGACTGCTGTGTTGCTTTTCCCTCAAATATAGACATATCAGTCTTGGCTTTGACTAGATGGATGGCTGTTTCTTTTGCTCTGGATGCGGGCCAGGCTTGATGGTTTTCATGCCTTCTTTGATGCTATTCATACTTCATATCTGTGCATAGAGGAAGATAAAATGTACTCTGTTATTGGAGTCTCCTATTGCTTTTCCTTTATATCATAAATTCTGCTGTAACACAGAAGAGAGATCAAAGCTTCATTGCCTAATGTGGGCTGTGTGGATAGCAGTGTTATGCTTGGCCAGCTTGTTGCCCCTAATTTGCCATTTTTATTTAACCCATTTTTGCTAGGCGTTACGTGGCACCTTGTTGCTTTTCTCATCCATTCACACAGCAATTAATGCTGCTGTTTCAGAAGCAGTTTCCATCCCTGGGTTTCAAAACTGGGCTGCACCATGCCTGCTGTTGTGAATGGGGCTGACGTGAGGACTTGTGTATTATTTGCTGTGTTGTTTCCCTGCCTCCCCATGTCATGTTCCTTGCTGCTCTTCTCGGGTGACCTGGAGCAGCCTCAGATCTCAAAAGCCCTAGAAGCATGGTATGGTTGAATGGTTGCAATTTTACAGAAAGCAAACAGTGAAGGAGAGGTGAAATTATCTGGTTTATCTCCTTAGTGTTGCTCTCGGTCAGTGGAGGAAGGGTGTTCCTTGCAGGGCACGGTCTGTAGGCTGGATTGGGTACTTGCATGGGGCAGTGGCTGAGATCCACTAGTCAGGGTGTTGGGAAACATGTAAGGCAGCTCTGGAGGACTAAGTGGATGGCCAGTGTTGAGGACAAAACTGATTGCATGGTTTGGTTGCCTTCAATTTTCTTGTCCTTTCATTGCCACATACTTCCAGCCTGCTTAGAGAAATGCCCCATCTGCCCCCTCCATCTCAAGCTGTTAGACCTGCACAGCAAATCTGAGCTCATTTCTCTGCCCCTATTCTCCAACACTCTCCATACATTTATTCCACTACCATACCATGGCTATTAGTAGAGACAGTATCATGTTTTAATTTAAAAAGTTTTCTCACTAGAACAGGGAGAAGCATGAAGTTTAATGTGTCAGACCCTTCACAATTTTGTAGGTCTTTGGAGATGCTTTTGATTTGAATCTACAGGGTGGGGTTGTTTTTTTACCTCCTTACTATTTTCAGGCTTGTACATGGGAGTTTCTCTCCAAATCTACAACCTATGTCAAAGACAGTATTTTTCCTCCTATTTTCTGGCTAGCACTGACAAATGTGAAACTCCACAAAAAGGATTGTTTTTAAAATTTCCCCAACTCATTCTAAGAAGGCAAACACTTTTCTTTCTTACTTTCTTTCTTTCTTTCTTTTTCTTTTTTTTTTTTTTTTTTTAAATTTTTTTTATTTTGGAAAAAAAATAACTAAAGCAAACCCCCCACATTCTTTAAGACATTTCCAAGCTAGTTTTTCAGGAGCTAATAGCTTTGACAGTAGAAAGATGACATTTATCATAACAGCATCCAAACTCTGAACCTGTTGAGATTCACCCATTTTAACCCTGGACATCTCAGTGAACATCATCCATCTCACATCTGACAGTGAAGACATAAACCTAGCAAAAGCCTTGTTGGTTTCTGCTCCATACAAGAGAAGGGGGTTGAAAGTAGCAGTGCAATATGGGAGGCAGCAGTGAGGAAAGAGAGAAAAACAGTGAGGAGAGAAGCTTTTTTTTTTTTTTTCAGATTCTTTGGGGACTTTAATAAATCAGAAGGAGATGATGCCAAAATGACCGATGCTGCATTGCTTTCCCAAGTGAGCAGTATGTGTGTTCAGCCCCTAAGCTTCAGAAACGTAGGCTGTCCTCCTGTCCCATTCCTTCAGTCACAACTGCGTGTCAGTTCTGGGGTAACCCCTACTGCAGTCCCATTCTGCAAAACCCTGCTGTCACTGGAGATCCCTGCAGCTGGGGTTCACAGCACAGTGCTGACAACAAAGAGCTAACCCCTCAGCGTCCCCAGCCTTAAGTCTTGCTGATCTTTCACACGTCCCTTTGCTGAGGCTGTGTGTCCCCAGTGGGCTTTTAGGTCTGTTGGATGTTGTCCGTCAGGAGTGGAATTGCCTTAATTTAGCAGAGCTAAGAAATGCAAAGAAAATAAAGCAGATGGGAGTGCTCCTTGGAGATACTTGGTATTATAGAGTATAGACTTTCCCAGCTATCCTTCGATGGCCATAAAATATATTTATATTATAAAAACAAAACACAATAAATAGTGATGTTCAGGGATGCCATATTTATTTGTCTCCCAGTGACTCTGATAAGAAATTAACTTAGTTTACATGCACATTTCCAAGCACCAGCCCTTTAAACTCTGCTTTGTCTCTGGTAGTTGAGCAAGGCTTCTCACTACTAATGATATTTCAACACTTGGAATTTGCCTGTGAATTTTGTCTATGACACATAAACTGAAGCTGAGCCTTGCTTACTCTCCCATGTGGATCAGCCCTTCAGGGCCACTGAGAATAACAGATAGTTTCCCCCAAACATGCCTAAATAGTTCCAAACTAAACAAACAGCTTTTGTCTGCATCCTCAGGTTATCAAAAGAGGCATGCATTTGATGAGCAGATGGAATAAGATAGTGCAGGAAAGAAATATAAATACATATAAAATTAAAAATAGAAAGAAGTAGGAAAAAAAAAAATCCCAATTTTCTGGCTGGTGTAGATACGGTGTGAGAAACTTTCTGTTCCTAGTCTAGTGAAAAGCACCTTTGCTATTGAGATAATTTACAAGGGCATCCAAGCTGATCCATGCTTCTTTAGTGATGCCAGACTTGGGCTAACTTACCTGATTTGTTGAAGATCCTGTGACTGTGGGAGGAGCAGGAGCATTTTCCAGACCTTAGAGAAATTTTGTAGCCAAGACATCCCAGTAATTTTCTTGGAAAAACCCTTTGGGCCCATGAGATATTGGGACAGATTAGAGCAATCCCCAGGATGCTGCCATGTGTGTCTTGGTCCTGGAAACTCAGTGAATCTATATTGGGGATTTTGGTAAGCGTAGAGGCCTCTAATGTCCACAGACTTGATCTGAGCTAAGAGCAACTTCACTGTAGTCTTAGCATCTACCTTCAGTGACATATGCCTATTCCTGCCGTGTCTTTTTCCAGTCCATTGGAATGGCCTCACTTGTAGAATAGTTACAAACAGGTGTCTGAGAAAGTAATGTAAAAAATGATGAGCTGACACCTGAAGACAAATGCATGGGTATTTTCTGCAAGAACTTGAAGGACTTAGCACAAAAGATGATAGAAAACAGGGGTTCAAGTCAGGAAGAAAAGAAATGTAGGTTAAACACCAGGATGTGTCCTAACAATGAACCAGAACGTGCCCTCCTTCAGTCAGACCTTGAGAAGGATGTGGGACTGTATGTCTCAGCAGAAGGTTTCCCTCCTGGACCTCATACCCAGCACTCCACCACAGGTTTTATCCTTCCAGTCCAGAGAACTATTCTCTGGCAAGTCCCGAATATTTGCATTTTTTGCACTTCAGATAATAACGTTCATCTTTAATAGTAATTAATGTCTAATCATGCTAGTAGTGGGTTTCCCTGGCTGGGGCATCCCAAAGCAGGAGCAGTACGAAGAGATGGTTAATACAGCCCTTGAAAACATATTTGCCCAGTAAGTTTGTTGGGACTGAAAGAAGAAACATGCTTTCTGCTCCACTTACTTTTCCTTTTCATCTGGCCAGCATTTCCAGCAAATCCTAAACCTTCAAATTACTTTTAAAGTGATGGGGTTGTGTAAGGAGAAGATGCCTTCAGTGTGCAGGTTTTGGTGTAGATGGGACAGCTGGGGCTAAGGAAGTCTGTGGGGTTGTGAGAGTCAGGTCTCCCCAGCCTTACAGTGCTACTCTTCAGCTTCAGAAATGCTAAGCCAAACTAAGTAAATCACGAGAGACAAGTAGACCTAGGAAGGATTCTCTGTTTTTCTCACTCCCTGCCTAGGAGGAAGATGGACTAGATATGGAATTAGAACTTTTCCACCCCTGACTAGTGGGAACCTCTAGAAAAGAGTTGTTCCCAGTTCTCTGTCCAGACTACTTGCATGCCCCTCGTTCTCAGAGCACTTGTGCCTGCACGTACCACTTGAAATAATTGCCTGTTCTTTATGGAAAGACAGAGTGAGGTAGCCCTCCTGGAGAGGGAGTTTTGGTTTTAATTTAATGGCAGCCGTTTGCTGGTTATTCATTTGGTTCTTTTTTAATAATTACATGTGTGTCGATATCTCTCTTTTTTTCTAGTTTTGCTCTTTTTTGTTTTTTCGTTTACTTTATTTTGCTTTTTTCTTTTTTCTGTTTTTTTTTCCCCTTTAGGTTTCAGAGAAATTATGTTGAATCCAATAAGCCTCCCTGGACATTCCAAACCTCTTAACCAAGGCATTTATGTTGAGGATGTCAGTGTTTATTTCAGCAAAGGACGTCATGGCTTTTAAAAACTCCTTAAAAGTCCCTGTTCTGATGTCAAGTTTATAGGCTGTGCCCTCAAAATGGTGGGAAGCAGTAAGCGTGGTCTGTATGGATTGAGGTCTCCTCCTAATAGGACTCTACAGCCCTGCCTGTACACACGTTAAAGCCAACTGAAACTGTGGTTTTCTGTCACCAGATAACAGGGTTGTTCTTTTCCTCCAATGGTCGCTGTGTTCGTTAAATATTCCTGCAAGGCACAACAGCAGCAATGAGAGCAAATAAAGAGAATTAAAACCCAATTGAAAGGAGTCATCCTAATAATACAGTAAATAATTGTACTTTTGCTTTAAAATAAAACACAAAACAAAACCAACCAAGCCAACCAAACTGACATCTTTAGTCATGTCCTCCCTGCTTGGAGTTTTCCTTGTAAGCTTGTGTCTTCGCAACACCCAGTGAATGCTGCCATCACCTCTTATGTGGCACCGCCATGGGAGGTCTCCCAGAGTGAGCCGAGGCGGGGAGCCTGGAAGAAACTAAAGCAGAACGAAGACTTTTGGTAAGAACAAAGGCAGCCCCGCTCCCAGTTCTTGCACAGAAAATAATGTTGGAAGGAATAATAATGGAAAGAAAAAAAAAAAAATCTTACTTCTCTGACAGGAAAAGAATGTGGTTATCTTTGAAGTGCACATATTCTAGGAGGCTTTTTTTGTTTGTCTGTCTGTCTGTGTGTGTTAGAGCGGCTCGTTGGATCTGACTATATCGTTGTCGTACTCTGGTCTCTCCCTGCTGCTTGAATGATGAGCTTTATCTGAGGAGTTGCCTGGACTTCCCGCATGGATGGAGAATCCATAGCGCAGGAGGGTCTGTGTCCTTGCCAGGACTAGGGCAGTAAGCAAAGTGGAAAAGCATATCAGATGCACGCAGGTCCCAGTTGCTGGGCCTTTTCCAGCCCCCTTTAGCTCTCCCCTGTATTCCCACCCAACTAGAGATTGATTGTAACGGAGTCATGCACCCAGAACCATCAGCTTGAGGCTGACTGACTGAAGGAGAGGAAAATGAAATATTCTGTTGCTTCTTCTCTGGCATAAACAGGAATATCGATCCTGTTCTCTGGCCAATATTCGTATTCTCTCACCCTCTCCCATCCCATTTTTGTCTTACTTCATCCAAAGCCTCTCAGATGTAAAAGTAAACCCTTTGATCCTGTCCTCAAGAGAAGCCAGCTGCCCTTGCGGCAACTTGCAGGGCTTTCCTTGGACTCTGGATGTCGCATGTACGGCAAGTACAGATTTGCTCACACGTATCGGTGATAACCTATAAACGAGGCAGATTTTCTCTAGAGGAAAAAACCTTCCAAAAACTTCAGGTGTGGCCAGATCCTTTTCTGAGAGGAGAATTGGACCAGGAACTTGCTCACCAGCCACTCAGCTTTGCTTGCCTTCTTGGTGGCCCGAGATGACCTTATCACATCAGGGATGTCTCTAAATCACCAGCCCTGAAGGGTCGCTGCTGCTGGAAAGAGTCACCGTCCCCCTCCGCCAGAACTGGGCAGAAGCCTCAGAATGGGATGTTCTGCTTTATCCTGCCTTTACAGGTGACCTGCATGAACCGCCCTGGAGATTGCCAGGAGGTTTTATTAGCAGCTTTCCCATAGGGTTGTCCCTGGGAATATTCCATTCTCCCGCTTCTTCTCCCAGTTCGTTTGCGTAAAAAGGTAAAGTGCAATAGAAGAGTACAGGAGAAACCGTAGCAGATTGCTTTAAGTTAACGGACATGCCTTAGGGGGGCATCTGCATTAGGATGAGGAGGCCTGGCTCAGGTTGGATGGCTTCTGAAACCATGACCAAAACTCCCAACAATGTTTCCTGCCCGCATCGGAGCTGGAAATGCAAGAGGTGCACTGCCAGAGAGGACCTGCGGCCATGTGTCATTGACACCTCAATTCTGCAGATTCAGAGTGAGGAGGAGGTTCGCCAAGCGTGTGAATCACTGGGTGCTTGTCTGAACTGAATTTCCCCATCTCCTGGAAGTCGCCCACCTGACCTGGGGATGTCTTGTCCGTCTGAACTGTCTCCTCTCCCTAGCACTGTTCAGGGGACTCTGCTCTCAACTGTGTGTATCAGTCGTAGAGATACATCTGTGGGCCTGGACCAGAAGCCTATATCCAAACACCCTAGCAGAGGAAAGGTTGAATTTTACAGCTCAGGTCCATCTCTGCTTAGAAGAAATCCTCCGGACCGTACAGCATAATTTAAAGCAGTTCTCCCCACTGTGATCAATGTCTCAATTTGTTTAACACCAATTAAAGTCTCTGGTTCCTCACTGCTTAAAACGAAAGCCAGTCATGGCCGTTTGCAATTGGTGGCTTTAAGTAGCAAGTCTAAGGATGTTTTGTTTTTTTAAAACTTTATTTTATTTTTAATTATTGTAAATCATTACCTCATTTTCTGTCAATGAGACTCCTCCATCTTTGAGCATTCTTATCTTGCCATAACTATCATCCTGTGCTAATGGGAAATGGGACGGTCCCTTTTCACAGAGACTATAGGGGTGTTCAATGTCTAGTTTCTTAATAAACACTTTATTTTCTAACGAAACAGCTGCATCAGGCCTCTTCTTTGAAGACAAAATAAATAAAAGTTCAGAACGACACGTCCTATAGTCTACTTCTTCATGAGATGATCCATGTGTGGGGAGTCTGGTTTGTTTGCTTTTTCGGGGGTGCTGAGGGTGGGCTTTACAGTTATGATGTGAATATTGCTCAGGTGTAGCTCTTGCTTCTGTCACTCTCATCAGGCACAAAGATGTTTTGCCTGAGAGCTTAGCTGCTCGTGATCTCAGTTGACAACCTGTTGGGTTTTGTGGCTCAAAGTGGTCATATTCTCATGAACAAGGTGGTAATGCTGGGACATAGTGTCAGCATTTACCAAGACAAGTTTCTACACTTAGTGGAAGGAGTTTTATTAGGAGACGTATCTCTCAGTGAGATTGACACAAAAGATTGTTCTGGCAGCAGTGCTTTTGTTTCAGGACATGCTGTTGCGGCAGGTCTTTCTACTTGGCTGTGCAAATTGCTCTTCTGTTGGGTGTTGGACTGTCATCCCTTCACTGGGGACAATTAGCCTCCTGTTAAGCTAGCAAGGATGTGTTGTGGGGTACAGGAGAACGCTGCACTTGATTTCCTCACCAGGAGTTCATGTGAGGATGGTTGGTTGCTCCAGAAAGAGAGAGGAACCACTCTGCAGCATGCGGGGCTTGGCATGAGGGTGCGTCTTAGTTGCTGTGTCTTAGTATTGTTCACAGGAGATGTAATTTATGTGACTTAAAGCTGCTGTGCCAACCTGCAGATGATTGTGGGCATGAGGCTGGGGGTGTGTTTGAGCTGATCTTGGTGGATGGTGCTGGAACCCTCTTAGAAAACCTGGTGAGAGTTTTGAGGAGCAAAATAGAAACATGTTTTCCAGCATCCTTCTGTTCCTGTAACTTCCTGGCATGACTTTCAAGGAAATGTCTCAAAATGATGCTATGAGTGAATTTCTGTATGCTATTCCCTTCTAATGAATATGCTTCTAGAAGTGACTGGGTGCTGCGATTCACAGGATTAGGTGATGGCTGAGATCTTTACCTTCCCAGGGATGTCTGTGATGCCTGAGACAAATGGTTGTCTCCTGACATAAAACCTTACACATGGGATGAGCTATATCAAATTTCATGCTTATTTCCCTTTCCTTTCTGAGTTGTGGGAAACAAACATGGGTGTTGGAAGCTCTGCCTTTTCCTCCCCACTACTTCAGGGTCTGTTATGAGGCTTCAGAGCCCAGAAACATTGCAAACAGGTTGATTAGCCAATTACTTAGCTGCTGGTATGGTCAGCCTCAGTTCATTCTGCTTTGTATTTCAGGGCAATTGAATTCCTTACATAGGAGTTCCCAGAATGTTTTTGATGCTGCCAGTTCCCAAGGAGCTAGCTTAATTATGCCAGTGGGATCTGACATGCATTGTAGAGGGGTTGGGCACTTCTCCTTGTGCTTGCTTCTTGGTCACCTCTGTTGCCTGATGTATTCATGTGAAGGCTCCGTGCTCTTCAAGACAGCTGAGTTGATAACTGCTGTCCTGCTCTCCCTCCCCACACTGGCTTCAAAAAACTCTTGAGCTGTGTAGAGAGCTTATTACCAAAGGAGCTTGGGGTACTGGTTTGATGCAGGCAGTGGTACGTATCAGCCTCTACAGAGAATCACAACCCTGCCTTCTCATTTCTTATACAGTGTGGAGCCTGCATGTGTACAAGCAGAGAAGCAAAGTTCTTTTCCTTGTGTTTTGACTCTAAAAGGATGGAGTCACATTTCTTTCAGTACATGCCTGGAGTGAGTGTGATGGACATGGTATGATTCTGGCACAATACCCCTCTGCATGATGAAAGCAACACGTGGCCTGGTGGGACCCTGGGCTTGGACTTGTTGCAGGCGAGTGTTTGATGTGTGTGATGCTGCAGGTCATGATCAGGGTATAATGAGTCTCTATAGCTGCTTATCTAAGTTGCACCAGCTGAGTCTTGATGTTCTTTGCTGCTCTTCTGTTTACCTAGATGTGCTTTTAAAGAGTCAGCCCTTCTTTCCCAAGAGGCTGGAGATTCTTTTGAAGATGGTGGTTTTCTCTACCACCAGGTCTTCGGCCTTTTCAAGATGTGTCTCAGCCCTGCTGTCCAGGGAGGCAGGGGCAGACGTCCCAGGAGTTGTGGACAGTCAGAAGAAGGTGCTTCTGCTGTTTCAGCAAACTGCGGCAGTGCGTCACCACTCCGCTCTCATTCGTACCCAGAACAAGCTGCAGATCCTCAGAGTTAAGCCCTGGCATTAGCAGAGGATAAAGAGGCCTAGACACAGTAGTAAAGTTAAAAACCACAGGTCCGCATGAGCAGCAGGAAGAGAACATGCAAGAAATCAATGCTGGGTGACTTCATTTTTGCTTAATGTTTTGAAGCACTTGTGGTGTGGTTTATGCAGTGAGTCAAAGAGTCCTTATTAACTGTATTTACCAGTGCCTGCAGACCCTGATCAATTGGCAGAAAAGTTTAACAGGCTGCGGGAAAGTGTTTACAGCCACTTTGGAGGGGAAAGAATATGACAGGAAACTGGCACACACACAGCTGAAAAAGGTGCTTTACCTGGTGAAGCAATGACGCATCTTCCTCTGCTGTTGGGGTGCATTTTGCTTTGCCTGTATCTTTTGTGGTTTCTCCAATGTCCCCCACACTCAACTCTCCTTACGGCAGGCAGGGTCCTTGGTGGTGCTAGCATGTGGTTTGATGCCACAGCCGCTGGCTCCACAACTCTGGAGATCCGAGCTTGTTGTGCCACAGAGGTGCACTGCAGGCTGTAGGACATCCTACCCTGTGTCCACACGACGGGGGATCACGTAGATACTGCTTTGCTTTGACCACTAAAAAACAACGTAAGAAACCCAATGGTGAAAATAAGTTAATTTGCCTGATGTGGTTTCCTTTGTGCTTCTTGTAAACTGACATGTGGAGAAGACACAGAGGGCTTAGGGGTGCAGATACAATGCCATTCTGCTTCTGCTGGGAGCTCAGTTTGGTTGTGTCAGCTCCTGATGTTCTTCAGTTCTGAATTTCACCTCCTTGGAGGCAGCACTGGCATTTTGGGGGTTGTTTGTCCATCTTCCTTATTAGAATTTAGTAATTGCTTTCTAGAGAAGTGGTAAATGCCTGTTCTTACTGAAATCAGTACAGAAAATCAAGAGACCGTAAACTGAGCTTTTGCCAGAAAGCACTTTGAGGTGGAGTTCAGGCTTTGAGTTTGTCAAGTTAAGAGCTAGAATAAATCTTAACCTGCACTCCTAGCCCTGGTAAATAAATGAGGGATGATTCCCTCACTAAGAGAAGATGATGGTCTCTCCAGCAGTAAAGCAGAGTGCAAGTACAAGACAACTGCATTTGAACTTTGATAATAATTTTGATCTTGTGAGGGTAACTGCTGACTAATCAGCAGAAATAAATTTTGGTCGTTCTCTACAAAGTGGAGAGATTAGTTCCAAGCGCTGGTTAAATGATTTGCTCTGCTGCTAGTGAGTCATTTGTGACCTGTGCCCAATTCCTGCAGATGAGTTGGCTTTTTGTAAGGATTTGCCTATGATTTCAGACTATTTGGCCTCTTTTATCCAAGGTTTTGCTTCAGATATTGTGTGACTGACTGACTAATGCTGCTTTTGCTCTCAGGTTGGATGAATAAACGTTTCAGACAGTCAGCCGGAAATGTTCAGGGATGCTCTTAGGTAATCTGGTATTTGGAGTTGTCCTTAACAACGTTTCTGTTTCATATCTTGCAACTGGTACCACCCCACCAGGTCTGTCTGCAGGCAAGAAAAACTGCTGTTGCTCAGGCCTTTGGAGTAGTTAAGAGCTTGTTTTCAGATCAAGTAGCCTTCATGGCTCCAGCCTGAATTTTGGGAGCAGCCTGCGTCTGATCTTTATGTGGGATGCTGATCGCAGTGCAGCCACTGCTGGAGGTCAGCTTCTTTCATGAGAAGTCAGAAAGAGACAGACTGGAGTCACATTAGGCTCAGTAAACTGCCAGGATATCTAAACAAACTAATCATGTCCAGGTCGTCATTATCTTAAGTGAGTCAGAGATGTGTTCAGGCTGTTTATTAAGATAATTGGGAGAGGGAAAGAGGGATGTTTTCAGTCTTGTGGAATAGAGGGGTGAGGTGGTGGAGTTTATTGCAACATCTGGTACAAGAGAGAAGGAGCTCATGGTCTTGCAAGTTCATGTTTTGCGTGTGTCCAGGGCCTGGTCCTGCTGGGATTCCGTCCCTGGTGCCAATAACAGGGATGTAAGGTGGCATCATGGTAATGCAGTATGCACATTTCAAACACCACCAATGTGAGCTCATCTTGTCAGGCTAAAGAGTTGTAACTCTGCCCAGATTTCCTCATGAGGCCTTGTTACCTGGTAATTTCAGAGACATTCTGAATGAACAGAACATTTTGGTTTTGCTGCATCAGTGCCACGCAATGTTTGAGGACAATAGAAGCAGCTGTAATCACTCCTTCCTTGGTAGCGCCTGGTCCAGTCCCTCGTAGATTGCTGAAGGTGGCTGCAGGTTTGTTTTCTGTTTCCTGAGACAAATTTGTTCATCAAGCGGTGCCAGAGGGGTTTGCAGGTTTAAGAGTGTTTAAGCTCCAGTCATGCACTCAGTGCTGCTAGAACAACTCCAGAGGTACATGTCCCCTACAGCCATCACATCTCACAACGCACAGACGTTGCAGGCGACTGAGAAGGGACTTGCTTAGAGACAGGTAAGTGTTATTTTTCTCCTTCCAGGGAGCTATTGTGTGTAATATGCTGAATTCAGACCTCTAACAGGAATTATTTTGATAGATCTGTTCTAAATGCATAAAGGATAACTGACTGCATTAGACAGTATCAGTGAGAAACTGTCAGTCCCTGCTTAGGCACTAGCATGGGCTCTTCTGGCTGGAAGTGCTGCAGGTCTGGCACTGTGCACGAGCAGAAAACCAGAATAGCCACGTGCTGCTGGAGATGGGGGTTAATGCCCACCATGGCTCCTGTTTGACTGC